TGTTCATTATCATTCATTCATCATATGATCATTATTAGTTAGATCATCGTTACTTGAAGATTATTAGCATTGAACAAATTGTTTGAAAAAAGGGGCAGATATGAGTTTTTCTTCTTTCTGCTGCCTTTCATTTTAAATTTCTTGTATTTTTTTAAGTTTATGGAATTGTTTTGTTTTTTAAAATGAATAAACTTTATACCATATATTTCATTAATCATTTATTTATACAGGTCATTGAGCCTCGAGGACTCATTTACAAAAGAGCCGTGTTTTAGACAAAGAACACAGATGATAGATGATCATATAAAATGCAAAGTAAATAAAAGAAATTATATATAACGAAACAAAAAGTTACACTATGAAGCGATGTAAAATACTAAAAATCAGTTAATCAAATCATCAATATACAACAATCAGATCACTATGCTAAAACATAATTCCCATACAGTATATCATAATTATTATATAATCATATTTATGTGATGGTATTCATATATGGAGGTTCCGTTATAATTTTGAGACCTCCTTATTGAAATACTTTTTTTTAATAGAAACTCATAATGATACGATTTAATGGGTCTCCCTCTCTTCTGTTCGTTTCATGACACCGCTACAAAATATATCAAACCTTTTTTTTTAAACGTAATCACAACTTTGTTACTAATCAACTACTGATTTTTTTTTTAATCACATCTTTTTCTTAACCTCTTTTCAGTCTGATTTTTCCCCTAATGGTAAAAGTTTATTTTTCATAGTTGCTTGGATTGGTGGGGAAAGTGCACTTTCAAAACCTGGGTTTGAATAAAATAACATAAAAAAAAAAAAAAAAAACTGATTAATCCACGCCCCCTTCTGGCCATAAACATGTACTACAATAATCTCCACACTACACTTTGATCATCACATATAAGGTTTACTCTTTAATTTTTTTACTGCTCCTATCGAGAAGTATTTTGGAAAACTAAGTTAACATGGAGTCGGTGTACACTCAAGGTATTTGGCTGGCAGAAACTCTCCAGCAGCGGACAAAGAGTCTGGAAAACATCTGGATTGTCATCACTCACATGGGCGATCCTAAAGCAGCGTTTCTGCTCGTCTTTCCCTTCACCTATTTTATCAGCAGACGAGTTGGTGTTGCGGTGCTCTGGGTGGCAGCTATTTCAGAGTGGTTAAACCTGGTGTTTAAATGGTACGACTGACACACTAAGGACAAACAGCCTTGTTTATTTCGTTTCCGTTATGTTAGCATGTAGCTATGTCACGTGTTTCAGGTAAAACGGTTCGTTTTACTCGCATATTTGCATTGTCGTGTGTTAATATTTTCTTTACGAACAGTTTGCGATTGTTTATTTAAAATTAATCGATAATTCCTACTCATAATTCACGGCGTAGACGTTGCAGCTTCCGGGACAGCGCTGCAGTCCCACGCTTAATGTTGTCCGTAGGGAAACAGGAACAAGTGGAACTATCACGAATAAGACAAAAATAAAAGTACAGGACGTACTGTACGGTACTCGTTTAAAAACTAGTTACAGATAAATACAGTTATAATATATGATAATGAGGGGAACACTAAAGTGACTGATAAACGAGCTTATAAGTAAATTAATCTGATCATTGTAAATGGACGTTTTTTAAAGTTATAAAATATGAATAATGTAAAATAAGTATGCAACATATGAAACAGGATCCGTGGGAAAATCTGATTTTTCCATTTGTTAAAACTACCCATGAGCATTTTTGACAACATAAATAACGCAATTTTGGCAGAAAATATGTTTTAAATGTACTGAAAATTTGCATTTTGTGCACAAACTGTGTGAATGCTGAAGGATTAATGATTTTGCTGAGAATCCTCGCACAATCTGCAGCTAATTTATTAAAAAAGAGCTAAAAGATAAAAAGAAGCAAAATGTTAAGCTAAATGCCCCAAATAGCAAAACATTAGCTAATAGGGGAGTAGGTGCACAAAGGTTTTTGAGGGTGGGCCTGTGATCAGAGGGGTTGCCGGTTAACTCCTTGGCTGAACTCCCCAGACCGACCACATCAAAATGTGGGTGGAAAAGGCAAAACACCCACACCTACCTCTGGGCCCTTGAGCAAGGCCCTTAACCCAGCTGCTCCCTGGGCACCAGATGGCAGTATACTGATTCACGTGTGTGTTCACATGTGCAATGGAAAAAATGCAGAGGATTAATTTCTCCATTAGGGATTAATAGAGTACATTAAATAAAAATAGTTAAAGTAGCAAAGACACTTGCTAAAATATTACCTAAAAGCTTAAGTAGAAAAAAAAAAGCTAGCTAAAAGTAACATAAGGCTAGATAAAAACTAAAATAACATTCGAAAGGTAATTTAAGAAAAAAAGAGCATGCATGTTTAAGTAAATTTTAAAGTTAAATATTGGGAAAAAGTATTAAAAATTATTAAAACAAAAAGTCATTTTGTGTTTCTGAATTACTGTAGTTCAACTAATTCAGAAACACAAAATGACAGCTAAAATAGTACAAAGTATGCCAAAGTACCGGTAGTTAAATAAAAAATAAAAACATACAGAAAACAAAATAAATGTGGAGTTTGTTGGATAGAATGGTGATTTAGTTAAAATTAATAAACACAGCATCACACTGATGGACAAACAGTTGTAAGAGTTAAAACCAACGACATCAAGTTCATAATCTGAACTTAGACTGTTCCTCTTAGTTCACTCATCATGGCCACCATTGTGTTCATGGCACCTAATATTTATGTTTTCCCAGGATGCTGTTTGGAGAACGGCCGTTCTGGTGGATCGGTGAATCCCGTTTATTTGTCAGTGCGCAGCCCAAGCTTCACCAGTTTCCATCTACATGTGAAACCGGCCCAGGTGAGAGGCCTTCGAAGCTAAATGAAACACATCCGAGTCTTAGACAGCTCTCTTGGTTCAGCATCGTCAGAGCTCCAAAGCTGGTGTCTGTCTCTCAGGGAGTCCATCAGGACACGCGATGGTGACAGCAGCCGTCTGGTGGGTGGTGGTGTCCTCGCTGAGGTCATTTCTGTACTCTCGGACTCGCAGGTAAATGAAACGAAACCAGAATCCTGCGTTTGGCTGAAAATGTACACTGCATTAACTGCAACGAGTCCGTTCCTGTCTTCAGTTTGCTGATATCAGCTGCTCCCTGCCTGCTTTATGGGCTGGTTCTGGTTGCAGTTGGACTATCCAGGATCTTCATCCTCGCCCACTTTCCTCATCAGGTTGTTGCTGGGTGCATTACAGGTCCGAAACAGAATGGTTACCTGATGGAAACAATCAGGTGAAGCGTATTTCACAGCTGATGCAACCGATTCTTTCCAGGGTTTATTTTAGGGATTGTTCTGAGCCGAAGAGTACCCGAAGGACGCCCCCTGCAGTTCTTCTTCAGCCTCAGCCTCGGCCTGTTGCTCAGCGCGCTGGTGCTCCATGTGGGGCTGCAGCAACTTGGAATCAACCTCTCATGGTGAATTTCTTTTATCAGATTAACTTCGTTTAGTAGGTCTGTTTTATTCAGCATTGGCCTAGTTTCCTGTTTATATATTTTTTTTAATTATGATTTTTTTTTAATTAATCTACCGCTGCATACTAGTCATAGAACAAAATGTTCGGCTGGTCTGGAATAGTCTGCTATGACTTTTAACTTTAGTAACTTATAGCTACTGTTCTGCTTGTTTTATAAGTTGTAACCATTTCTTAGTTTTAGCCATCTACTGTTTTTATCAATTTAGCTTTCAGTTACTGTTCTACGTTTAAGCTTTGAGCTAAGGACTTGTTGATTTTTAGCTTTTAGTTACTGTTCTGTCTGCTGGTTTTAGCTTTTAGCTGCTGCTTTGCTAATAATAACATTTAGATACTATTTGGGTAAATTTCGCTTTAAGTTCCTGTTTTGGCAGTTTTAGCTTGTTGGCTACTGTTCTGCTTGTTTGAGCTGCAAACTAAGGCTTAGATCATTTTAGCTTTTAGTTAGTTTAGCTGATTTTTAACTTTTAGTTACTTTTTTTCTGGTTGTATACTAGCATTTGATGACTGTTTTTGCAAATTTTAGTTACTGTTTTGTCAATTTTAGCTCATTAGCTACGGTCGTGTTTGAGCTTTGAACTAAGGCCTGGTTAATTTGAGCTTTTAGCTAATCCAACATTTTTCAGTCAGGTCATCTGGACAGTTTCATTTTTTTGTGCTGAAACGTCTCGCCTTCGATCCAGAAGGCTTCATCAGTCAAGGAAACACACAACAAAACTGATTCTTCCTCCAACAGCTTACTCCAAAGTGGAACAAACCAGTTCTGCTTGTGATAAGATGGTCTTTTTGGTACGCCCCCTCCTCCATTGCCGGCCCTCTTCCTTGTTGACAGTCTTGTCAAACTGGTTGAAAACAACAAAGTCCATGCTCAATAATCCAGGTATACAATCCAACATTTTTCAGTCAGGTCATCTGGACAGTTTCTTTTTTTTTTGTGCTGACCTGACTGAAAAATGTTGGATTGTATACCTGGATTATTGAGCATGGACTTTGTTCTTTTAGCTAATGTTTAGCATTTTCAAGCTTTTGTTTGTTTTGTTTACTTTTGCGGTGTTTTGACTATTTGAGCATCTGTTTTTGTTATTTCAGTTTATATTCTGCTTGTTTAACCTTTAACAGCTCCATTTGTGAATCTTTATCACATTCCAGCAGTCATTCAGCTTTCAGCAGTCTTTCAGCTTTCAGCAGTCATTCAGCCTCAGCAGTTTTTCAGCCTTCAGCAGTCACTCAGTCTTCCAGCTTTCAGTAGTTATTCAGCTTTCAGCAGTCTTTCAGCCTTCAGCAGTCATTCAGTTTTCAGCAGTCGCTCAGCCTTTGGCAGTCACTCAGTCTTCAGCAGTCGTTCAGCCTTCAGCAGTCACTCAGCCTTTGGCAGTCACTCAGTCTTCAGCAGTCGTTCAGCCTTCAGCAGTTGTTCAGCTTCTAGCAGTCTTTTAATCTTCAGCAGGCACTCGGCCTTCAGCAGTCATTCAGCTCTCAGCAGTCACTCAGTCTTCAGCAGGCACTCAGCCATTCAGCTCTCAGCAGTCATTCAGCCTCCAGCAGGCACTCAGCCTTCAGCAGTCA